CCTCCCCGCCCCCCCCCCCCCCCCACCCCCCCCCCCACAAGGAAGTATAAACAAGTCTTACCGGGATCTTGTTTGGGAACTTTGCCCGGATTCCAGCAACTTCCTCTTGCCTGGTTGCTGTGAATATTTCAAATGCAAAAGAATAAGTCCACAGTGAGAAGGCTCCATCCTCCCTCTCTTTCTCAAGTAAACCAGAAGCTATGCTGAGAACTTTACCTAAACTTTTCCTCTGCTTGAAAGGTCTGAGGCTGGGGATTTTCTGTGGAGGTGGCATTTTACTCAACAGCAGTGTCTGTCTTTAAAAAAGAGAGGGAAGGAAAAGGGGGGGGGCAGAAAACTCTCACAATCAGGACCTAACTCATTCCTCTAGCTGCTTTTAAGCTGCCTGCAGGAGCCTCAGGGAGGCCCTTATGTAGGGCTGGGTGACATCAAGCCTCCCTAGTCCTCCCCCAAATCCCACGCCCTCCCCTCCAACCCACTCCCTCCGCCCGGGCAGCAGGAGGTCAGCTCTGAGGATAGAATGGAATAGCCACCTGCATTTTGGTCAGAGAAGTTTTTTTTCATACTCAGTTAAAGATGTTTCTTTGCTAAGGAAATCAGAGCTCATAATGTCTTTGGCTACATCCAGCTTGGGTCTGGGCTGAGGACTCTGGAGAGGCGCAACCGCTTATGCTAGGGACATTTTCGTACCTCAGTAATGACCCATTTTGAGGGATGTCCAAGATGGAACTCCTCACCCTGGAATGTGCTTCAGAATTCTCATAAAGTGCTTGCCATTCTCCAAAGAAAGCAAGCTATACTCAGAAAGGTTAAGTGTTTTTGGGACCAGCAGTTAGCATAATGGCTATGTCGCTGGACTCCCATGTAGTCGACTAGTGGTTCGAGTCCCAGACCGGGTGTCTTAAACTCACGCCAGGCGCGTGTGTGTGTGTGCCCAAGATCCCAAGAGGAGAATGGAGGAGAAGGGATCGTGGCATGGCCATCCCCCCGGGGGGTGATTTCTCGCTTTCTGTCTCTCTGTCTCTCTCTGTCTGGCAAGCGCACGCACCTTATAGCAAAAACCTCTCCAAAAATAAAAAGAAAGGTTAAGTGTTTTGTCCAAGGTCACACAGCCAGTAGAAGAGGCAGCTGAGATTAAAACACAGATGTGTTACAAGGTAGCATAACACTCCAGTGTGTATATATATATATATATATATGTAAATATATATATATATATATTTTAGAGAGAGGGTTTTGCTATAGGGTGTATGTGCTCGCCAGAAAGAGAGAGAGAAAAAGTGAGAAATCACCCCCCAGGGGGGATGGCCATGCCACAATCCCTTCTCCTCCATTCTCCTCTTGGGATCTTGGGCACGCACCCACACGCACTTAGTGTGAGTTTTAAGCCACCGGGTCTGAGACTCGAACCGTGGTCAATTACATGGGAGCCCAGCGACATAGCCATCACGCCAACTGCTGGTCCCAGTGTATTGTCATTTTATTATTTCAGCATTAAAGGAGTGAAGGAAGGACACCTACCCTCAAGGACTATTTCTTTCTTTTTTTTTTGGAGAGGTTTTTACTATAGGGCATATGTGCTCACCAGAAAGACAGAGAGAGACAGAGAGATAGAAAGCGAGAAATCACCCCCAGGGGGGATGGCCATGCCACAATCCCTTCTCCTCCATTCTCCTCTCAGGATCTTGGGCACACACGCATGCACACACGCCTGGCGTGAGTTTAAGCCACCGGGTCCGGGACTCGAACCGTGGTCGACTACGTGGGAGTCCAGCAACATAGCCATTACGCTAACTGCTGGTCCACCCCCCCCCCAAAGGACTCTTTCTAAAAGAAGGCCCTAGAAGGTAATTTGGCCAGTAAAATGCAAAACTCTCCTAGTTCCCAGATTTCAGAGGCGGTTTCTGGATACTTATGGCCATCCAGGTAGCCCTTCGGACTTTGAATGAGCCAAAGGTTCGTGTTTCCTTGATGTTTAGCAGTCTGTGCTTTGATGTCTGAGCAGTCACTCAGCAGTGAAGAGTCTGAATGAATGGAGAGTAGCATAAGGAAGGAGATAGTACCTTTACCAATCTGCTGGGTGAGTTGGAGGATTTGGCTCTCAGGGCTGACCTAAAGTGATGACGGATAGGTACCAGGTGATGGTATAACTGAAAAGAAGTGGCTAGCTCCTCTCTTCAAAACAGGAGCAATCCCTCAGCTGTGTAGGATAGTAAGAAACAGGTGTGCAGTGCTCTGTGGTCAAGCAGCTTTCAAATCCACGATCTCATTGAAACCTTTCCAGGTGCCTTGCAGGTCAGAGGAGCAGGCGCAATGTGCACTTGGCAGAGGTCAAGGCCACTTGGCCAGAGTACATGGAGGAGGGATCCAACTCAGATTCCCAGGGGCAGGCTCAGACCCCAAGACTAGACAAAACTGGTTCCAGGACTCCTCTTGCCACCGATTCACCTTAATTTCTTAGTTTGGATAAATGACTTCACTTTACTTGGTGTAGTTTTTGATGCTTGTGTTAATCCTAACTCAAAGCATGTATGTGAGGCTTAACAAACTGGTTTACCTAAAGCAGCGTAGAGCCTGGCCCAAAATTGATCCTTGGTACACATGTTGTTCCCCCAAGTCATACGTATAGCCCTGCAATTCTAGGAAATGTAACGTGAATTCAGGTTTGAGTAGAAGAAAAGGCACTGAGGTGGGGCCAAAAAAAAGTGAACCCCAGCTGCAGCTCTTTGTTGATCTTCATAAGGGCCTTTGAGATGAACCCTCACTGCCCTGCATTGGTCTTTCTCAGCTGGGATGTGGGGATTATCATCTTGACTGGGCAGCCTCCTCAGGATTAAAGGTACTAAGGGGGGTAACAGAATAGAGGACAAGAAAAAGAAAAGTCTTAATCACCGCAGAATGCATCACCACTCAGGCAGAGGAATGGGCTAGACTATTTCCTCCTTTTATTTATTTATTTTTTTGAGAATTTTTTAAAAAGTTTTAATTTTATTTATTTATTTATTTTTGCTATAGGGTGCATGTGCCTGCCAGAAAGACAAAGAGAGACAGAGAGACAGAAAGCGAGAAATCACTCCCCAGGGCGGGTGGCCATACCACAATCACTTCTCCTCCATTCTCATCCCTCTTGGGATCTTTTTTTTTGGAGAGGTTTTTTTTGTTTTTTTTTTTTTTTTTTTTTTTCCGCTATAGGGCGTGTGCACTTGCCAGACAGACAGAGAGAGAGACATAGAGACAGAAAGTGAGAAATCACTCTGCAATCCCTTCTCCTCCATTCTCTTCTTGGGATCTTGGGCACGCACACACACACGCCCGGAGAGAGTTTTAAGTCACTGAATTCGGGACGCAAACCACGGTCGACTACGTGGGAGTCCAGCGACATAGCCATTATGCTAACTGCTGGTTCCCCCTCTTGGGATCTTGGGCACACATGCACACGTGCCTGATGTGAGTTAAAGCCAGAGGGTCCAGGACTCAAATTACAGTAGACTACGTGGGACTCTAGGGATGTAACCATCACTCCATCTGTTGGCCCCAATAGTCAACTCTTGACACTACCAGGTGTGTGACTGTTAAGGAAAGAACTTTGGAAATGAACTTGGGCTCTTACTTTTCCTTACTAGAAAGTTAACCTCTTATTTACTTCTACTTATTTTTAATTGCCAGAGGACACATGCATTAGCCTGAGGGAGACAGGGAGACAGAGAAAGCACCTCCCTTCATGGAGCGTTGTAATGCCATGATCTCTTTTTCTCAACTTCTCCACCCTCTTGGGATTTGGGGCATGCATGCACACATGCCCAGTGAGTTTTTCAAGTCTCCGGAGCTGGGATCCAAAATATGGTTAGGTATGTGGGATCCAATTCCCTTAACTGCTAGGCTATTGTGCTGGCCCAAAAGTGAGCCTTTTTGAAACTCTTCACTGGCAAAATAGATACGCATTCACTTGTCTCATAGAGTTGCATGGAAATTAAATGTAGAAATCTATGTGATACACATATGTGAGATGATGTAGTCCAGCTCATGTGAGTTTCCTCGCACTACTTGTGCCCAGCATAGCCGAGAGCCTCTGAGCTCACTGCCTCTCCACTCCTTCAACTCCCACAGTCAGGAGTCTGTGCCAGTGTGAGTACAGAGCTCTTGAGAGGTCTGCAGTAATTCACACAAGCACCTCTTTATGTTTTTTTTTTTTTTTTAAGAATTATTTTATTTAACTTTATCCACTTATTTAATTTGACCAGAGAGGGATGAGAGAGAGAAAGTGAGAAAGCAAGTCACCAGGTCTGGGACTCAAACTGCAATTGGCCATGTGGGAGTCTAGCGCCCTTAACCAGCAGGCCACCTTCTAGCCAGTTTTTGTTTATTTTTTTAGTCCTTATTTGATCTTTGATTCTTCAACATTTAGAATCATCCATTTTGCCTGAAAACTCCTCTTTCAAATGCCAAGATACTGCATTCTTCAGATTCTTTCCCCTTCTCTCATCTCAGCCCCAGCTACCTCTTATTTGCAAAGCACTTCTTTGTAAGGCTCTCAGGACACTCAGCTTCAAAGCTGGATACAGAGTCTTTGATATATGTGATCAAGACATTTCCCTCATTCTCATGAATGTGAAAATGCTCACACGACTTTTCTACATTCTTATCTGTAGCATATTATGTTCCACCATGGTCCTCTTCTTGCTTCCTGAGGAGTTTTCTAAAATGACTGTTTCTCTCATGTGATTATAAGTGGACCTGACTCTTGGCGAGTGTGGCTATTTAGGGCTTAGGGAGTGACTAACATTGTGTTCCCTGTGGTTAGAGTCATTCATCTTTCCTGGCTACAAGTTCTGATTACAGTGGGGAAACAAATTTGGGAACTTGAAGCAATATAGAAGAGTGTCTTCTCGGGCTGGTGGGGGAGATGTGGCAGAGGGACATGCCTGCTGCTGCTGCAGAGAAACCCAGAGTCATCCTGCCTATGTATGGCTCATTCACGATGGGAAGGTGATAATCAATAGCTCTAGTTGAAATTCAAACTTGATTGTTTTCCTTTTTTTTTTTTTTTTTTGAGGGGTTTTTGCCAAGGGGGGCATGAACTTGCCAGAAAAGACAGAGAAAGAGCAGAAAGCAAGAAATCACCCCCCAGGGGAATGAATGGCCATGCCATCATCCCTTCTCCATTCTCCTCTCAGAATCTTGGGCACGCACACACACATGCCCAGTGTGAGTTTAAGCCACTGGATCCGGAACTTGAAAAGGAAAGTGAGAAAGCAAGCCATCAGGTCTGGGACTTGAACCACGGTCAACCATATGATAATCCAGCACCCCTAATCACCACGTCACCTGCTGGCCCCTGAAATGGTTTTAATATTGGCAACTTTTTAAAAAAGATTATTTATTTATTATTATTTTAAATTTGACCAGAAAG